GGGGGGGGGGGGGGGCAGTGTTTACATTTTTTCCATTTCAAAGGAGGTTCCTGTCTACCATAGCAGACCTGTATTTTCAAACCAAGACAACCAAGACAACAGGCAATCCAGAAATGCAATGGACAGTCTTCATATAAAGCATGGAAATATGATGGTCAAAGTCAAGCTGGAATTCACTGCCTGCCAGGCTTGAGCTAGAAAGTCTCACATCACTGAACAAACTGACTTACATGTTATTGCAGATGCTTTCAAGATGGAGATTATTTTCTCTAAGGAGCTCTCCTTAAAATCTCCTGTGCTGATTCTCAACAAGCAAAATAAAGATTCAGTATTTTGCTTGACATTTGAATTGAAGCTTGAATTTGTGACATATGTCTGTGAAAATTATTTGCATGTGTTTGTTTTATATTGTGTCATTGCGAAATAAGATATTTGTAACCTGTGTGGTTAGTCAAGTTAAGAGTCATGAAGAGCATTTAACTAATAAAATCCATTTATTGTTTCACCTTTGAGTTACTGGGAAAATGTAATTTCTGTAAGTTCCTTGATAAAGTTAATGTCTTCTTAAACACAAGAAAAGGGAGTTACACATCATTATGTATAAACATTATGTGAATTTTGCTATTCCTTCCACAGGTGTTTTTCATTAGAATATGTCTGCCACGTTCAGACCTATTTTAAGTAAATTCACAAGGAAATGCCTCATTACATGTTTCTCCTGGAAGGGCTGATAGGTGCTTTTTACTTTATAAAACAGTCTAAAAGTTTTCTATTCTTCAAATGAAAAAATATTTTTCAGAACATAGTACTGCAGTTTGGTACTGTATTTCTAGCTGCCATTAGAGACACTTGAAATTAAAACATAATCAAATTTGTGAAACAGAAATGACTGTTTCTTAGATATGCTGGTGAAAGGGGAATTTGCCTGCTTTGCTGTGTAAAAAAATTGGTTTTTATATGCATTTATATTAATATGAAACTCTACTGTAGCACATTCTTCTTGGTGATCTTATAAAATGTTATTGTGTTGATACTGTATTTTCAGGTTATAATAGATCATCTCTTAAATCACTTTTAAAATAATGTACTGACTTACTAGCAATTATATCATGACCATTATATCATCAATATATCATCAATAATTTCCAGCAATCATTTTTAGTTTTGGGAAATAGCTTAGCTCTTACAGACAAAACCCACATCCTGCAAATTCTTTACTTGATACAGAGAAAAAAAAAATTGTTTGTGATTATGAATAGTTCTATATCTGCATATAGAATACGTGGTCAATTCAGAGTTCATTCTCTCCCTGAAACATTGTTTAGGATGACAAGAAATTGACAAGAAAGCAGCATTCTCATTTGTTCACATTTTCTGTCTCCTGAGGGTCATGATACCGCAAATGGTGGAAAGAAATACATTTGCCTTTTACTTTGTTTACTTACACATACTGAGGTAGTGTAAGACTAATTTAAACTCTGCAACTGTTTAAGTGAAATAAAGTGTGGTGTTGCTTAGACCATTTTTATCAATTGTTTACGTGTTGTTTCATTTTTCACCTTTCTTCCCAATACTTTTTAGACTGAAAGAAAATACTAATTTTTCAGGAAACTAAATATTTATTATAATTGTAATTTTTTCCATGACATGAAATCACTAAAAGGAGTGCTGTGAATGTAAATTAACAGAATCTACATTTTAAGTAATTTTGTAACTAATTGATAAGTCTAAGTGTCTTGGATTAATTTTTTTTGTCTGTTTTACCACTGGCTGTGTTTATCAAAATATGATTTTTTTTTTCCCAATAGCATCAGCGACTTCTCGACATTTTAGAAGCAGAAAAGGAAGTGTTATCACAAAAGATAGAAGAAGCTATGATGCAGCAGTCGCAAAAGCACAAGGTATTGCCTTTATTTACCAAAACAATAAGAGATCAGCATCATGGAGTTTATTGGGAATGGTCCTGTCACAATTACTGACAGGAAGATGACGCTTTCTTAAGTACTTTGACTCTTTGAAATTATTTTTAGCCACTCTTTTACTGTCTGTTGCAGTTTAATTTTTCATACCATTTGCAGGAAGTGCTGGACAAATGTTTGGATGAAGAAAGACGGAGAAGCAAGGAGGCTCTGGCAGCTGCTGCAAAGGTATTTCTCATTAATTAGCAGACATGCAATGTGGATTCCATGTGTGTCATTTGAAATGCCAAGTTCAGACACTCACTTTTATTTCATAACTATGTTTATCAAGCTCTGCATTCTTATCTGTGTTTAGAAGAAGCTGGTTCTACTGAAAATGGACATGTCTACTGTATCTCATGAAGAGATGTAGCTTCATTCTCTTGAACAATAGCCTCTGAATTGTTTAGAACAAGAAGTCACAATATTGTCATTCAGTTGTTGCTGATACCTAAATATCTGGTTTTGTGGTCTTTTGACATCAGTGCATCTTGATTTGAAGAGCTGGGTTGTAGGGTCAACAGATGATCTTAATAACACAATTAGCATCATGTCCTAATTAACTTTCATTGAATATGGTCATCTTAAGTAAGGAGAGAACTATTCTTAAAATCTTATACAAACAGGGACAGTTTACTGGGTTTTGAATTATTTTATATAAGCTGATATTTGGATAAAAGTGATTATTCAGTTTTTAAATACGATTTCTCCTGCCTATTTCATTAGTAAGTGCATTGGTATTAGGACAATAATTTTATAAATGTTAAGCTAGAATTAATTACTAATACTAATGTAGAATCCAGTACAAAAGTTCTGTTGCATGTAATAATCTGGGGAAGGTAGTGATGGGTATCACCTAGCACAGTTCATCAGGCTATATTATAATTTTCTGTATGTTTTTTTGTGTAGTATGTGAACACTGGCTGAGCATCACACTGAATAGCATTCTGTAGTGCCACAAACATTTCTTACATAGTTGGTATCTACAGGAAAATGTGTGTATAATAAAAATCCTGATTTAATTACTACATTTTCAATATCTAAGTAAAAAAATCAAGTCCCAGTGAATTTAAAGAAACATCTTTAGTTGGAAGTGTAGGTATCTGATGAATACAGTATTTTTTGCTTTTTATGACTTGATTTGACCAGTTCCATATCACCTCCAAGGGGCATAGGAATGACCTATAGGCATATTAAAACTGAGAGAATTTGTGATTAAATTTTGTTAGCCCATGTTTGCTTATTTTGAACTTCAGTTTGCCATTATTTATTTGTAGATATTATGCAGTGGTTGTCTTGCTGATACATATATTTGTGTGGCTACGCATGTGTGGAGCTGTTGGCTTCAAATTCTCAGTGATTTCGGATAATGGTTGAATATAATGATTGTGGGAAAAAATAAAACAGTACTTCTTCTAGCATGACTAAGGAGCTTTGCGGGGGAAGACACATTTGTTTAAACTGTATGTTAGCTAATTTTATATAGAAAATGTTCAGACAGATTTTGCACTTAAGATATTTGTAGATAAGACCAGGAATATCTATTACATGGGAATATCAAGGGAGGCCCTTTTTTAAATTGTTTTGTGTTGTTTTGTTGTTTTGTTTTGTTTGTTTGTTTTTTGTGTTTGTTTTTTTTTTGTTAAGCAAACTAGTTATGAATTCCTGAGCTTTTAGTAGGTGGGAATTAAGACCCTAACCTGTAACTTTCTTTTCCTTTCTGTAACTACACAAGTCATTGTCCTGAGGTAATACCTTTTGGTAGCACCACAAGATAAATTGAACCTCATAGTTCAGAAGTGAAAATATTCATATCCTGTATCTTATCAGCTCATAGACTTCATTAGAAGAAGTTGATACATATGAGTTAGTCATTCAGGTTGGGTGTGTTGCTCATCTGATCTGTTTTAAAGGCTGAAAATGAAGTAGTGCAGGAAGCTGTTCTGAAAGCAGTAAAGGAGGAGAGGAGAAATATGGAAAAGATTCATGCAGAAGAAAGAAAACTGTGGGAAGCAGAACGTGATAGTCATAGAGAGAAGATTGCCCAGGCTGTTTCAGAAGCCATGGAAGAGCAAAGAAAGCAGAATCAGGTTAGTATGTTTTACCCCTCCATGCACATGCTCTGTTACTTTTGAATGTCTTATGTTGTTGTTGTGGGTTTTCCTGTGACATCTGTCAGTCAGTTGATACTTGCAGTGCACAGCAAGCAGTTTATCTTCACCTTGACTGTATGTATGAAGAAAGTATGTATTTCTGGCGCATACAGAACAAAATTCCTGTGACCTTTACAGGTACATATATTAAAATTATATAAATCATAGCTGGTTTTGTCCTCTGGCTTCAAAAGGAGTTTCAACAAGCAGCTCAGAGAGTGACATTTATGCTGTAAACAGTTTAGATGACTTCCATACCTGTAGAAGACTAAAGATGTTATATTTATTCCTTAGAGAATAGGTACAAAATAAAGAGGAGGTTATAAAAACTGGAAAGTTAAACCAGTAATGAGCCAGAAATGTTTCTAGAGTTAATCATAGGAGAGGTGCTTCTATAATAAGAATTGTATGTCACTTAACACAAATTAGAGGGACATTCCCAACAGTGCTTTTAGCATTTCTACAAATTAAAAATTAAAAATGTTATAATAGCAATAAATTACTCTTCCAAAAGTTGAGTTTTGTGGTCTGTGATGTTGAAAATACTTGGAGGAACAGCCTGTGAATTCACTGATTTCTTGATGACATATTCAACTGTTACAGCTTTCAGAAATTTAAGGAGCATATATTTCATTGATGTGTTGGAATTTGATACCTCTGGATTTTTTGTGCTGCATAAGAAAAAAAAAACAACAAAACTTAAGAATCTGAAGTAGAAGAAAAGTACTCTTTGGAAACAGACACAGTTTCTATTTCCAGTGTTAAACAAAATTATTAACCTCATATACCTAATAAGCTACAAAAAAAAATGCTTTGACGCTATGCCATTATCATACTCTGTATTGCCTAAATTCCTAATGTAAATAGAATGATTTATTTTTTTTATATCTTCTTTACTTCTTTCAAAAGTAAAGTGTCAAATGGTAAAGTGTCAATTTTCAAGAATTTCAGTGAGCCTTCAGGCTGTCAAACTCTTCTTCAGAGCAGAAGGCTAAGCAGCTGAGTTCAAAGCTGAATTTTAACTGAGAACAATTTATTTGGCTTTAGTTAAATAAAAATAATTTAGGTTGTCCAGAATGAGAACTGGTACCAGTAGTGTACAGAATGTATTCCTGGAAGGGAGAGTGGTAAAGTGTTTGATTACTGGAGTAACATCACATCACATAGCTGGAGTTAATCTGGCTCTATCACTTCCGTCTGTGACAGAAGTGGGTCACATCCCAGGAGCAGGAGGACCTGAGGTGCACTTGCTCTATGGCTTTTTGGTTGTCAATCTGTGCTCTGAGGAGACAAGGATGAGAGGGAGGTCTTTTGCATGGGGTAATAGAGGATTTATTGCTCTGGGGAATCTTGTGGGCAAAAGACAGAAAATGCGAGCGTGCAACAGCTGAAATAGGGAGGCAGTTCAAAGGGAGGGTAGAAAGCATCAGCTAATCAGAGATATCCTGGGGAGGGTAAAAGGCAGAGTTCACAAAATCATCATCCAATGAGGAAGGTAGGGGGGGAAAGTTGGGTCACATGGACTAATCAAGCATCGAAGTTTAGGGGATTTCCAAAGTGGAATTCCAAGCATGTGGTGGACCTAAGACAAGACTGATAGGAGACTCAGGGTAGATTGACAGCATGGGGTGAGAGGGTCTCATTTGGACCAAACCATCAACTTAGATAATAACAGGACATACCATTAACAAGAAACACACTGCAACAGAGTAAGACAGCAAATCTATAGCTTGTGGAACATGCATAGATTAGTAGGAGGACTACAGTAACAAAGTTTGATGGTCCCTGAAGATTTTTCGTGAAAGAAAATAGCTGGATGCTAGAGTTCAGTCAGGGTTCTGTAGTGATGAATTTGAGGGGCACTGGGTGTCAGTGTCCCAGATGTGGGAGACATGTAGACTAATCTGGGGTAGCGAATTTGGACAGGTTTGCCTTCCCTCTGCAAGGTACTGCAGACTCTCTCATGGCTGATGTTGCCTTTGAAATTGTCACAAGACAGGATGACATTAGAAGTAGTTAAATAGTGATGATATTCTGTGATGAAATCCAAAATACACTGCCGTGTCAGCATTTCCCTGAGGAGGCAGTTCAGGCCTCTCCAAGGGCCAAGTTTTTCCACTCGAGCTTCTTTTAGATCAAGTAGTTCCTAGTGTGGAAGTACCTAGTGATGTACTTGTGATGGTGAGCAGTACTGAGGAAGCTCTTGTGATTAATTTTGCAGTAAATATCTTGCACTTTATGTAGTCCTTTAGTAGTGTCATTAGTTAACTGCATTTCTTTTAATACCAAACAGTTCTGACGACTTTTATTGTAAAATTGTATAATTTCTTATATTTGGTTATAACATGATTATTTCACCTTCATGTCAGGTTCATTTTTCAAATACCTATTTTTAATTCAGGAAAAATGCAGATTTTTCTTGATATTTCCAAAATTCTATCACATGTATCTATGAAATATATGAAGTTACACTCTTTATTCTCTAATTAATAAGTACAAATTCCCTGGGGAGGATGGACTTTCATGGACAAATTGGTTTCTTGGAGAAATTTTCCCTTCTTCCTATGCCAAGAACTTGCAAATCTTTAGGCTGTTGCAATTATAAGCATACACAAAGTACTAAAATTTTCTGTCAACAAAAGAAGTCCTTCAGAGCTGATGTGCCAAATGATAACTTATATGTGGTGTCAGATATAAGTTATAGATAAAGATACGACTTTGGTTTAACAATGAACAGCACTTGGGCCTACAAGGCACTTTGTGTGTGGGCATTAATTTTTTTCTGCGAAAATTTGAAGCCTTCCACACAGACTTGTTTCTTATTTATGTTTTGTTTTCTGTAAGATTTGTCTTATGGAAGCTATAGCTGCGCTCTTGACTCTCTTGCAGTTGTCATTTAGGCAATATATTAAATCAACTCTGTAATGGCCTAAATGCAAACATAGAGTCTAACATTTTAGGAAATGAAATGTAAAAAAATGCTGGAATAAAACTTTATTTTGCTGTAAATTATTTCAAAGAGATTTTCTTTATTGACTTGAACTAAAAAAAAAAAAATAGCATAGTATTAAAGAGTAGTTTTCCTTCACTAATGTGGTAAGTCTGTGAAATGGGAAGATCACAAAGTCTTCTGTAAATAGGTGCAGCAGAACGGCTTACAGTCAAAATGCCCATAAAATAACCCTAGGAATACTTAATGGAAAAATTCAGAAACATTGAAAATTTTATTATTTTCTTTGAGATGCAAACGTGCAGAGAAAAAGGTATTTTCATCTCCATGGTGCAAGAGTTGATAAAAGACATGTTTTAAAAACTGTAGCACCACTGTGTATCTGGAAAACATTTAAATTATTAAAAACAGGGAAAATAAATTTCCGTGTCAAAGTGGAATGAATTTGTTGGCTTCTCCTTTACCTTCTAGACCAGAGAAACATGATGTAGGAGTTTTGATTCATTGGTTTAAAAGAGTAATTTGCTATCCATTAATTTTCTTCATTAAAATAAAATATGTTGGCTTTTTCCACCAGTTTTTAAACACATGCACTAGAAGTTATATGGTTATATAGGTGAAAGCAAATGGAAAAAAATATTGAAGTATGGTTTGTTTACATTTCATTGATTAGGCCGTTTTAGCAGAAAAACAGTAAAGGTTTGAAGATCATACTTGTGCTGAATTAGGCAGTGAAATTTCCTGTCATCACCTAAATAATTTGTTTAAAAGAAAAAAACATGAGTGTTTCCTTTGAAGGGATGATACAGGTATTGTTTTAGACTTTTTTGGTGGTGTTGTTGCAGTGGCCAAGGCGGAGACCCAAAGGGGATGCAAATCTGGGAGGTATATGCAGATGCCTTCTTATCAGGAGATATTCATACTTAGCAAAACTTTGTCCTTTAATAAAATGTTTGTCCTCAGTCAAATTGTTGTCAAATCTGCAGATAAGGAAATACTATTTCCATACAAGATTTATTATACTAATTTAACATTGCCTGAGAAAAATCAGGAGACTTAAAGACAGTTTAATAAATAAATAATATTTAATATCAAATACTTTGTTACCAAATATGAAACAGCAGAGTAAATGTAAATTTACAGTGAAAGCAGGACCTAAGACATACTGAGTTAATATTTCAACATGATGGAGCAACCTTGACATACCCCCTTCTTTGTTTTTTCTTTAAGAAATTAAAGGATTACAGTAACATGAATGTTGTTTTGTTGGATTTTTTATAGAAAGCTTTTCATTAAAGCTTTGACTGTTCCAGTGACTTCAGATCCTTCCTTAGAGACACGGTATCTGTACTTAAAATAAAGGTATTATTTTTTGAAGCCTTATCATTCTGAAGGTATAAATGAGATATTTTACATCACCAAGGAAATGGAAAAATGTTTTTTTAGAGCACTCTCTTGAGGCTGTGAAGTAGTAAAAGTCCAGATGACTTCCATTTTGTTTGAGACCTGGCAGCATCTTCAGATTTTAGAACTCTGTTATTCAGCTGCTTCATGCTTTTGTAAGAGTTTTTTGTGGTTTTGTTTGGTTGATTTTTTTTTTTTATTTAGAAGAGCATTATCACTTTAGGGAAAAAGCAGGATTGCATTTTAAATCAGGAAGAACAAGCTCTCCTTGAAAAAAATGAGTAGTCTTTTGATTAAAGATTATGTTCATTTGCATAGGAACTTCCTGATCCTTTTACAGCTCATTGAAAAGTCATCATGGATTAGGAACTCATCTATTCAGACTGAGTGTAGCTTGGCATGTCTCCAGTATTTTCTTTTCTGTTTTTTTTCTTTTTCAAACTCCATTGTCTGACGTTATTTTTTTTACAGTTGTACTTTCCTTCAAGGGGAGTTTAATGTCTGGTAGTTGTCAGTGCTGAGAAGAATACCTGGTGAAATTCCTCCACTAGAATTTTTTTTTTTTTCTTCCTAGAGCATCTAT